CGGGGTTTCACCATGTTAGCCAGGATGGTCTCGATCTCCTGACCTCATGATCCACCCGCCTCAGCCTCCCAAAGTGCTGGGATTACAGGCGTGAGCCACCGTGCCTGGCCCTCTTGTGCTATTAATCTACATTTAAATATCTATCATAATCTGGAGCCCTGGAGAACCCTTCTTGAACCAGCCGATACATTTTTGGCCCACACAACCTCTAGCTAGCCCCTGTAGTGAGTACTGTAAGTGCCCCACGGAGGCTGTTTCTGATCCCTTTTGCCAGGTTCCTATCCTGCAGTTTCATGTGCTTTGCTGGTCTCTGGGGCCTTCAGAGGCTTACCCTTGGACATTGGGGCCTCCTTAGGGGAGAGTCTGAAGTGCAGGAAGTCCCTCCATTAGCCCAGAGCCAAGAATTAGTTGATGTGTATTTTGTGGGACAGGACAAACTCTGAGATGAAACTTAGGCTCCCGAGCTCCCTGGGAGATCCAGCTAAGCCTGGGACTTCGCCAGAGCCTGACTTCTTTCCCTTCCCTGTTCTATTTCACTCATGATTCCCTTACTGGTTTCTCATGGGAGCACTTCTGTAATAAATCACGTGCACCTGAACATGATCTGCTTTAGAGGAAACCAACATAAGACAACCACCCACTCTGCAAAGGGCTTCTCCTCCTTTGATCTAAAACGGTTGCACTTGGCTTCAAGAGGTGAAAAGAAAATCAAGACCACAAACACGTTGCACCAACAGATGGTATTTATTGGCTGAAGGGTACTTCGGGAGATGTCAAAAACACCAAAGGCAGCTGTTTGTCTTGCAGCAAAAGTCCTAAAAGATTCCAGGACCCACTTTATTTACCTCTCCTTCTTCTAATCCTGAGTCTCAGCAGCCCAGATGTCTTCCTAACACTCTGTACATCCTTCTTCTCTTTCGAAGCTGATGCACCTATCATATCTGGGTCCAAAGCTTGCCTTTCTTATTCCCTCACATTTATTATTCTCAAGATATTTACATGAAGAGGACCATTTCTAAGGACTTCGTGGAACTTGAGTCAGTGAATCATAAAATATTAAGGGCAGGATACTGTGAACCTGACACTCGATGAATGCTACTTACAACAAATGAGTTGCAGAACCAAGACACATAAAAGAGAGTGGCATTGTTCTTTTCCAACGGGGACTCCTGGCTGCTTTCGCACTGGTATTGGGGAATTCATGCAGCCTGTGTTGGAAACACTCCTCATCAGATATTGTTTTCCCTAGGACAGGAGTTAAATCCTCCCACCCAGAAGAAAACCTCAGATGGGATGTTCCCCCAGAGGGCAGGGCACGCAATAAAAAAATCCTAAATTAAACCATCCCACCTGCCCCTGTGTGTCCCCCACATGTTGCATTCTTTACAGTGTTAACAGGCATGGCTCGTTCTTTGCAGTGTTAGAGAATTTTATTTTATTGTTTTGGTGGCATGGGCATAACTGGAGAAACCATTGGGGTATTCACTAGTAACCTACATTGTTAGTTTCCTTGGTTCCAGCAGGTAATACACTGGGTTCCGTCACCCTGGAGATGGCTACAGGGAGGCCGAGTGGCTTCCCAAAGTAATAAAGAGTTTGGAATCAGAATTCCAGGTCTGACTCCCAGAAGACTGTTCTGTTTCCTTACACACCTGTACTTCCATCAATCTTCTCCAGCTCCAATTTCTTGTGCCCCTTTGACATCATCCGCAGGCAGGATGATCTTTCTGATAAAAACCAGTTGCAGAAGTTCCTGTTGCTTCCGTTTGGTTCTTCCTCAGGGTAGGGAGAACAGAGCAGCTGCATTCACGTGGCCCCGTTTCCCTCTGCTTCCCCTTCCCACTTGATTATTCAGGCAAGTGGGATTGTAACATCATGGCCATCGCCATAGTAACAGAGCTTGAAAGATGCTACATTGCCCTGGAACAGACGTCTTGCTGGGTACCAGGAGAGAGCCAGGGATGCCAAGCCAAGGGGAAAGTCCTGGCTTGGTGGCACACAGGGGTGAATGTCCTGAATCTATGGCGGGGGTGGGGGCAGGGGACATGTTAATACAGGCTGACAGCGAGGTGGCTGCAAAGCTCCTCCATTTCTCCTGGGGCTTGCACGCTAATCTGCCCACTGGCCACACAGATTGCTTTCTCTGCAATGCCATTGGTGCCAGCCTGTTGTGCTGAGGTTGACAATAAGAGAACAGAGTTGGGAGAGGAATAGGGCAGGCAAGATTCCAGTGGCTTCTGCATGGTCACCTGTGCCATCTCATCCCAGATTTCAGAGCAGGGAGCATTTCAGAGGTGGAGAAGTGGCTCTGTCAGAGATCACAGAAGCACAGATGGTTACGGTGCTCCAGGCCGCCACCCTGGTTGGTGGAGACATCCATAACATGGGTTGTCCTGTTTGCCACCAGAGGGGATGGCAATGTCCATAGGAGCCGCTGACAGGCCTGAGACTTAAGTAAGGGAGATGACAGAATAGAAAGAGGAGAAAGACATAAAGACAGGAGACCAAGGGGTAACCACATCTGGGCCAAAACTGACCTTTCTTTCTTTCTTTCTTTTTTTTTTTTTGTTTTTTAAGACAGAGTCTTGGTCACTCTGTCACCCAGGTTGGAGTGCTGTGGTGCAATCTTGGCTCACTGCAGCCTCCGCCCCCCGGGTTCAAGCCGATTCTCCTGCCTCAGCCTCCAGAGTAGTTGGGATTACAGGCACCCACCACCACACCCAGCTAATTTTTGTATTTTTAGTAGACTGGTCTTGAACTCCTGACCTCAAGTGATCCACCCACCTTGGCCTCCTAAAGTGCTGGGATTACAGGCAGGAGCCCCCATTTCTGGCGAAAATGGCAATTAATTTAAGGGCTATGTTTTTCTGTTGACCCAGCCACAAGTAGATTTCAGGATCTAGCATTCATGTTCTTAACATAGTTCATATCTAACAGGCTATGTGCCTGGGCCACTCATTCTTAACCAGGATGAGCATTAAAATCACCTTGTGTGCGTTTATTTATTTATTTATGAGATGGAGTCTCATTCTGTCGTCCAGGCTGGAGTGCAGTTGCTCACTGCAACTTTTGTCTCCCGGGTCCAAGCAATTATCCCTGCCTCGGCCTCCTGAGTAGCTGGGATTACAGGCACCCGCCACCATGCCCGGCTAATTTTTGTATTTTTTAGTAGAGAGGGGGTTTTGCCATGTTGGCCAGGCTAGTCTTGAACTCCTGACCTCAGGTGATCCGCCTGCTTCAGCTTCCCAAAGTGTTGGCACTACAGGCATGGGCCACTGCATCCGGCCTCTTGTTTGCTTTTAGAAAACCATGTCTGCTGGGCCCCACACCTGGAATGTCTGAGGGGCAGATCAGTCTGGCGGTTAAGAGTGTGGGCTCTGCTGGGGATAGTGGAGTGTGCCTGTAGTTGCAGCTACTTGGGAGGCTGAGGAGGGAGGATCACTTGAGCCCAGGAGTTTGAATCCAGCCTGGACAACCTGGATTTTTATTAGAGACCTCATCTCTAATTAAAAAAAAAAAAAAATTTTTTTTAAATGTGGGTTCTAAAGCTGTCCCAGGCCTCTGTTGGAAACTCAGCCCGCCCGTGCTGGCTGGGTGACCCTGGGAAAGTTACCGCACCAAGCACTGTGCCCAAGTTTCCTCATCTATAAAACAGGGGACCCCACAGTACCTCCCCCATCACAGGGCTGTTGTGAGGGTGACAGCACGGAATCCAAGCAGGAGGCTGGATGCTGTGCCTGCCGAGGATGAAGTATTTGGGACATTAAGTTATTACAGGTATATGGTGGGACCTAACAGCTGTATTTTGAAAATACTTTGGGCCAGGTGTGGTGGCTCACGCCTGTCATCCCAGCACTCTGGGAGGGTGAGGCGGGTGGATCACTTGAGGTCAGAAGTTTGAGGCCAGCCTGGACAATGTGACGAAACCCCGTCTCTACGAAAAATACAAAAAAAATTAGCCGGGCATGGTGGCACACACCTGTTGTCCCAGCTACTCGGGAGGCTGAGGCAAGAGAATCACTTGAACATGGGAGGCGGAGGTTGCAGTGAGCCAAGATCGTGCCATTGCACTCCAGCCTGGGCGACAGAGCAAGACTCTGTTTCACTGCAACAACAACAACAAAAATAAAAAGAAAAAAGAAAATACTGTACAGGACTCACAGGGATTCTAATCTGCAGGCCTGGGCTATCTGGGAGGCAGTGATTTCTAGGCTCCTCCCCAGCCTGTGGCATCAAGTACAAGGTACTGGGTACTAAGTTAAAATAACCAGCAGGTGGGCTGGACACAGTGGCTCACACCTGTAATAGCACTCAGCACTTTGCGAGGGCAGGGCAGGAGGATTGCTTGAGCCCAGGAGTTTGAGACCACCCTGGATAACATAATGAGTCCTCGCCTCTCCTAATAATAATAATAATAATAATAATAATAATAATAATAATAATAAGCCAGGCCTGGTGGCGCATGCCAGTAGTCCCAGCTACTTGGGAGGCTGAGGCAGGAGGATGGCTTGGGCCCAGGAGTTCAAGGTTGCAGTGAGCTGTGATTGTGTCAGCTGCACTCCAGCCTGGGTGAAGACCCAGACCCTGTCTCAAAAAAAAAAAAAAAAAAAGGAATGAGGCTGGGCGTCGTGGCTCATGCCTGTAATCCCAACACTTTGTGAGGCCAAGGCGAGCTGATCATTTGAGGTCAGGAGTTGGAGACCAGTCTGGCCAACATGGCAAAACCCTGTCTCTACTAAAAAATACACAAATTAGCCAAACATGTTGGTGGGTGCCTGTAGTCCCAACTACTTGGGAGGCTGAGGCAGGAGAATCGCTTGAACCCTGGAAGTGGAGGTCGCAGTGAGCCGAGATTGTGCCACTGCACTCCAGCCTGAGTGACAGAGGGAGACCCTGTCAAAGAAAAAAAAAGGAAGGAAGGAAGGAAGGAAGGAAGAAGGGAGGGAGGGAGGGAGGGAGGGAAGGAGGGAGGGAAAGAAAGAAAATAACGGACAAGTGGGAACTTCATGTATTGCCAGGTCCTTGACTTGGGGCGGAGAAGGAAGACGCATCTAGAAGGGCTTCAAGTCTGAGTCAGGAAGTCGTCCCCTTTTGCAGGGGAAGGAGGCACGCACTACACCACAGAACGAGAGAGGAAGGTGAAGGTCAGAAGGACAAGACAGCGGCGGGGTTTTGGGGTCAGAAGTGGTGGCGGGCAAGAGGCAGGATGTAAGTGCTTGAGGCCTGTTTTTCAGGAAGCCCCCGCAGGGCTGGGTCCGAGCATGCTGACCCTCGGCGTCCTTCCGGGTGTCCTCAGTGTTCGGTTGTTCGGTCCTAGTACACCTGGAAGTGTGCGGACGTGGCGCCGTCCTTCCAGCAGCGCAGGGTGTCCACGGCGACCGAGCGGCAGAGCGGGCAGGTGCGCTCCCGGTCCAGCCACAGGCAGAGGCACTCCTCACAGAACACGTGCTGCGGGGACAGCAATCAGCAGGCACCAGGACTCTTTACCGCGCGTCCGCCTCGGTCCCGGGAGCAGGAGACGCGGCAGCGGATTAGACAGACAACCCCTGTCTTCGGGGCGCCTGCACTCGCGCGTGGGAGACAATGCGACTCTAAAATACCGAGTTATCAATAGGAAGCACCAAGATGAAACAGCAGGGGAGGGGCAGGGTGTGGTGGCTCCCGACTGTAATCCCAGCACTTTGGGAGGCTGAGGTGGGCGGATCACCTGAGGCAGGAGTTTGAGACCACCCTGGCCAACAAGATGAAACCCCGTCTCTCCTAAAAGATACAAAAATTAGCCGGGCATGGTGATGGGCGCCTGTAGCCCCAGCTACTCGGGAGGCTGAGGCAGGAGAATCGTTTGAACCCGGAGGCAGAGGTTGCACTGAGCTGAGTTTGTGCCACTGCACTCCAGCCTAGGTGACACAGCAAGACTCCGTCTAAAAAAACAAAACAAAACAAAACGAAAACCCCAAAAAACAAAGCATGAGGGAGAAGGAACAGAGAGGGCTTGGGTGGGTTGGGACGTTAAGGAAAACTTCATGGAGATACTGACATTTGGGTAAAACTTGCAGGTCCGTGAGGAGTGAGCCCTGATGAGATCTCAGGGAAAAGTGCTCCTGGCCGCAGGAACAGCATGTGCAGAGGCCCTGAGGCTGGACTGTGTCTGATGTGTGGAGGAAAAGGAAGGAGAGGGTAGCTGGGCTGGGGTTTTTGGGGGGGGGGGTGGATGGGAGAGGGAGATGAGGTCACAGAAGTGATGGAGGGTGAGGGATGCAGATGGTATAGGTCCTTGTGGGCCATTGTGAGGTCTTTGGCTCTTATTCTGAGAGAAGGGGCCATGGCAGGGCTTGGAGCAGAGGAGTGACCTGATATGATTTGCAGTTTAAAGTGATCCCTCTGCCTTCTGGGTTGAGAATAGAACACAAGAGTCAAGAGGAAAGGCAGGTGACTAGTGCTGCAATAAACAGATACATGCACGCATATGTTCACTGCAGCACGATTCACAACAGCAAAGATATGGAATCAACCCAAATGCTCATCAGTGATAGACTGGATAGAGAAAATGTGGTTCATAAACACCATGGAATACTATGCAGCCATAAAAAGGAATGAGATCATGTCCTTTGCAGGGACATGGATGGAGCTGGAAGCCATTATTCTCAGCAAACTAACACAGGAACAGAAAACCGAACACTGCATGTTCTCACTCATAAGTCAGAGCTGAACAATGAGAACACATGGACACAGGGAGGGGAACACCACACACTGGGGCCTGTTGTGGGGCTAGGGGAGGGAGAGCATCAGGATAAATAGCTAATGCATGCGGGGCTTAATACCTAGGTGATGGGTCAATAGGTGCAGCAAACCACCATGGCACACGTTTACCTATGTAGCAAACCTGTACATCCTGCACATGCATCCTACAACTGAAAATTAAATTAAATTTTTTAAAAAAGAGAGAGATCGGGCCACGTGCAGTGCCTCATGCCTGTAATCCCAGCAGTTTGGGAGGCTGAGGTGGGTGGATCACCTGAGGTCAGGAATTTGAGATTAGCCTGACCAACATGGAGAAACCCTGTCTCTACTGAAAATACAAAATTAGCCGGGCGTGGTGGTGCATGCCTGTAATCCCAGCTACTCGGGAAGCTGAGGCGGGAGAATCACATGAACCCAGGAGGCAGAGGTTGCAGTGAGCCGAGATCGTGCCATTGCACTCTAGCCTGGGCAACAAGAGTGAAATTCCGGCCGGGTGCGGTGACTCACGCCTGTAACCCCAGCACTTTGGGAGGCTGAGACGGGCGGATCACGAGGTCAGGAGATCGAGACTATCCTGGCTAACATGGTGAAACCCCGTCTCTACTAAAAACACACAAAAAATGAGCTGGGCGTGGTGGCGGGCACCTGTAGTCCCAGCTACTGGGGAGGCTGAGGCAGGAGAATGGCGTGAACCCGGGATGCGGAGCTTGCAGTGAGCCTAGATGGCGCCAGTGCACTCCAGCCTGGGCGACAGGGCAAGACTCCGTCTCAAAAAAAAAAAAAAAAAAAAAAAACAAGAGTGAAACTCCACCTCAAAAAAAAAAAAAAAAAAAAAGAGAGGGAGAGGCAGGGAGATTGGAAAGACCAATGGGTTCCACCATTCTCTGGCTGTATAACTTGGACAAACAATGCAACTGCTCTGTGCCTCAGTTTTCCCATCTGTAAAACGGGGATAGAACTCCCTCATTGGAACATTAATTAACATGTTAAAAGTACTTAGATGTGACAACCAAATGTAGCACATGAGTCTTGATTGGTCCCAGGTGGGGCAAAAAAATCCCAGCTATAAAGGGTGCTTTGAAGGCAACTGGAGAAATCTGAATATGTACCATATATTAAATAATATTTTATGTTAATTAAAAATTTCCTGGGTGGCCAGGCATGGTGGCTTACATCTGTAATCCTAGCACTTTGGGAAGCTGAGGTGGGGGGATCACCTGAGGTCAGGAGTTTGAGACCAGCCTGGCCAACATGGTGAAATCCCGTCTCTACTAAAAATACAAAAATTAGCCAGGCATGGTGGCACACACCTGTAGTCCTAGCTACTTGGAAGGCTGAGGCAGGAGAATCGCTTGAACCCAGGAGGGAGAGGTTGCAGTGAGCCGAGATCACGCCACTGCACTACAGCCTGGGCGACAGAGTGAGCTAGACTCCGTCTCAAAAAAAAAAAAAAGTATGTCCTTGTTCCTGGGAGATGCACACTGAAGTATTTAGGGATGAAGAATCTAAATGTCTACCACTTACTCTTAACTGGTTTAGGGAAAAAAAAATTGATGTCAAAAAAAGGGCAAATGTAAAAAGTTAATGATCAGTAAATCTGGGTGAAGAATAGAAGAGTTTCATGCAACTTTTCTGCAGGTTTGAAATTTTTCAAAATGAAATGTTTGAGGAAAATGATAATATAAAAATCTAAACAAAAAGTTTTTTTAAAAGCAAAACCATAAAAAAGAAGTTGGGCACAGTGGCTCATGCTTATAACCCCAGCACTTTGGGAGGCCAAGGCAGGAGGATGGCTCAAGGCCAGAGACCAGCCTGGGCAACATGGTGAGACTTCCTCCACCCCCATGCCCCATGTCTCTACAAAAAGAAAAAAATTAGCTGGGCATAGTGGCATGTGCCATCCCAGCTACTTGGGAGGCTGAAGTGGTGGGAGGATCGCTTGAGCCCAGGAGGTTGAGGCTGTAGTGAGCTATGATCATGTCACTGCACTCCAGCCTGGGAGAGAGTGAGACCTTGTCTAAAAAAATAAAAAATAATATAAAAAAAGAAGGCACTTGGAATAATGGCTGGCAAACAGTAAGTGCTCTATAAGTGTTAGCTATTATTATAGTAATAATGATTATCTTATGTGTTTATTGTTTATTATCTGTCTCTCCATGCCAGTCTGTAAGCTTCCTGTAAACCCATTCATTCCGAGCATGGTGTACAGTGGGTGCCTAATTGTAGACAGTGCTCTGAAGGAGATTTCCGTGGTATTATAGAGATGTGTGACAGAGGAACCAGTTTGATCCAAGAGGTAGTCAAGGAAGGCTTCCTGGAGGTGGGGACACTTGAGTTAAAGCCTGAAGAACATTTAGCAGTTAACTGGGCAGAAGAGAGGGGATGGAGATAGAACATTCCAGACTGAAGGAAGCCTCCTGTGCAAAGCTCCTGAGATAGGAAGCTGTTTGAGGCACTTGAAGACAGCTGATGTGGCTGTCGTTGGGGGTGCAGGGGAGAGAGGGAGTGGGGAAAGAAGAGAAGTCTACACAGAGCCGCGAAGACTGTCCTGGATTCTCATCATGGTCTGGAGGGCAGGAACCAGGGGTCAGCAAGCCCCGCAGCTTATACAGATTCCCACTATGGCACCCAATACCCTCTATGATGGCCCTTCTCCCATCCAGCCCCATCCTTGCACCCTGGAGTAACTGATGTCATTGACACGCCACTTGACCTTCCACCCCAGGCTTATTCACAGCCTTCCAACAAACTTCAGTATCACCCTGGGATGCCCTTTCTCCATCTTGACCAGCTGTGTGCTTGCCCAGTTCTTTTGGAAGATTCAGTCAAGCAATCACATCTCCCCTGTTTTATGATGTTGCCCCAATTCCATCCTGTTACTGTCTCTTGCAAATGTAAGTACTGATCGCGTCTTCTCTCCTATGCTATTCTTCCTGGTGAAAACCCCTCTCAAAGCATTGCATGACACTTCTGAAATTATTTGCAAATTCATCTGCTTGTTCACTAGATTAAGAGCTTTCTCTCTCTCTCTCTCTCTATATATATATATATACACACACACACACACATATATATACATACACACACACACACACACACACATATATATATATTTTTTGAGACAGGGTCTTGCTCTGTCGTCTAGGTTTGAGTGTAGTGGTGCGATCACAGCTCACAGCAGCCTTGATCTCTTGATCTCCTGGGCTTGAGCGACCCTCCTGCTTCCACCTCCCAAGTAGCTATGACTATAGGCATGTGTCACCATGCCTGGCTAATTTTTAAATTTTTTTGTGGAAATGGAGTCTCACTCTGTTGCCCAGGCTGGTCTCAAACTCCTGGCTTCATGTGATCCTCCTGCCTTGGCCTCTCAAAGTGCTGGGATTACAGGTGTGAGCCACTGTGCCCAGCCACCGGATTGAGAGCTTTCTGAGGGCAGAACCTGGTTTTATGCTGAGTACGGTTCTTGCTCAGATGCTCAGTAAATACCTGTTGACGAACGGAATGGGATTTAACTATGCTACCCTGGACGAAAGAGGTACTTGCATGTGAGAATGCAACACAACCCCTGTTCACATAAACTTGAGTTAGGTGAATGGAAATAGTCATGAAATTTAGCAGTTTTTTCACTCATTCATTCAACACATTCATTGAGGCTCTCACACTTCTAATTTAATAGTTCTCAGATGTTCTGGTGCCAAGACCCCTTT